CCGTTTGTAATACAAAATGACTGAAAATTGCAAATTTCGCAAGGCTATATTATCCGCATTTTACAACATTTCGCAACGAAACTTTGGAATATTACTAATTTTGTGATGCTCTTTCAAGCTGCGATGAAATTTTTGTCAAGATTAAAATTTATTCTATAATGCAATTGGTCCATTTGCCTTTCTCACGCCGCCATTTTTGGGTGGCTTTTCATTAATAATTCATAAAGAAAACAGGAAAGCCTTAAGCTTGTGTTTGTACATCCGATGTAACCATAGATATCTTATATACACTAGATAGCGCATCTCTTTTAGTAAAATTGAAGCCAAGAATATTCCAGCGGTTACCCCTATTTGAATAGATGGCGGCCATGTTGGAGTTTCCCACTCGCTAATAAACGCGTAAAAAACAACAATAACTTTCATCATTTGAATGTTTTGAAAATGTATGTGGAATAGGTTTAACTTAATGTTTGAGTTCCCTGTTTAAGAAATAGAAAACATACAAATCTTCTCAATTCATGGGAATATCCTGAGTCTGCAATCACGGCTTCAATTTTTGAATTGCAGAATAATTAGATGCACTGCCTAGTGTATATAAGATATCTATGGATGTAACACGGCCGCTCGTCTTGTAAATAGTACTATTTTATTTTCAATATGTAGGGAAGAACTCATGTCTTCGTAACCCTAATGGATGTAATACCAATGCAGACTGCCATTATATACGCCCTGGTCGGGTAAGAGTCGTGATCTAAGACATTAGAACATTGGATTAGGGACCGGTCATTATTTGTGGTGGGGGGTGGCACCGAAGAGAAAAAGGTTGGGTAAACAAAATGTTGAGTAAGTAAAAGGTTGGGTAAATGAAAAACAAAACAAGTCAAGGGTTGGGTAATAAAAATTTATTGTCATTTCCAAAACATGACTCACTGAAATATTGTTGACTGAAAAGCATTGTCAACAGTCATTTCTCAACTACAATATGTGAATCAACCAGAGTAACTATCTTGATCATTTTGACAAAACAAATGGTGTTTCCAAAGAAAGTACATGTGCAGACAACATGAAATTTTAGACTGCAGAAAATTTCACAAGCCGTTATCAAACTCATGTCACCGAAGTGGTAAGGACATGTGTGACAACTGAATGGTATCTTTTTGTAACGTTTTTGGCCAGGGGTGGGTATTTAATTTTTAATTGATATTTGAGGTTGGGTAATCAAATTTTTGTCTTTTTAATAGTTGGGTCAGCAAAAGTTTTGCAAGGAAAAACATTTCTCTTCGGTGCCACCCCCCACCATAAATAATGACTGCTCCCTTAGCATTGAGCCGTAAAAGAAGAAACTTTTACGGCTTGCAAATTGAAATATAAAATTTGAAAATTTAAATTTAAAACTTGATTGATAATTTCTCGACAGCTACACGATGTAAACATAAAAATACGTAGCATCCCCAGAAATTTCTGAAAACCTTTGATTGATAGCTGAAAAAGTGCATGATCCATAAAAGCCTGGTACGATATAGACTAAGCTATACAGGGTGAATAAAAAAGTTTCAGCAGCTATTTAAAGGACTTAAAATTCAGTAAATTTTCTAATATTTGGACCACTGATAAAACACATAATAAATTTCTCACCCATGCATGAACTCAAAATAGCGTTTTAAACTTTTAAATTTTGCGCGCAAGCTATTTTTAATGCTGCTAAAAATGACGTATATATATAGTTAGTAGCTCTAGAGGAATTATCAAACCAATTCTTTTTCTCAGCCTCCATCAGTTTCGAAATTTAGGCTAAATATATTATTTTCCTGCCATATTTCAGCATATTTGTACGTGCAAGGCTGGGTACAGCGGAGATGGAAAGAAAAGCTGCAAACTGATTGACATTTGCTCACAGGTTAGTATTGCTAACGTCCATTATAATAAGTAACATGCACCGCGCAGTCAAACTGGAAAAGAAAAGCGTTTGCTATATTTATTTATTTATTTAACTTTGCCAACATAAAATTACAATAACAATTTAAAATTATAACAAAATAGCGTGCCTGGGCATAGTCTTTCAAAACATGATTTGGAAACTCCGCTAAGGTCTTTGTTCTATCTTTTTGTTCGCGTTTATGCAGTTTTGTGCACGATCAATAAAAACATTGTATTTCAGTATAATGAACGAATCATCCAATAGCAACGTTTCAGTTTAGTCAATTCAACCATGCTATTTAAATATTATGTGCACGGTGTAAGGTACGGCTCAACGTAAACTGCCTGCTCATTATAACCGCTTTGAAGTTTAGTGAGTTTCCAGACCATGTCTCGAAAGACTATGGCCTGGGTCGCCGCACTGACAACTTATTGCCAATTACTGCGGGCCCAAGGAAAGTAGAAACGGCTGAAGGTATGAGCCAATTTCATCGCTTTTTCCTTGTGCAAGACAGTAACAAGTCATACTGGGGTTTTTTTCTAGGACAATGGAGGCTGTAGTTTTTTTGCTGACTGTGCGTCCAACAAGACCTCATTCACAACGAGATGTACCTGTAAAAACGGCTACATTGGTGATGGAACAAAATGCATTGGAAATGTCCTCGAGGTAGCTAATATTTCTGCTATTTAAGAGGCAATTTTTCAACTGTCTTGAAAAGTGTTCAAAACCTAAATCGTTTTGGTGTTCCTCTTAAAATTATTTTATTTTAGTTTTATTTTGTAGTTTGCACAGTTAGCAACCATTTTAAATGTGTCTGGCGGTTGAGAAACACAAAATAATAGTTACTGTCGTTCCAATTGAAGTGTTGCTCAAATATTGATTCAATACATTACCTCGGGCTGACCAATTCATTTGATCAAATTCCTCGAGATATTCATACACTTCCTGTGAAAGAGCCAATTCCAAGTATTTGATCATTTCTGGTCACTTCCTTTCTATTTATGATTGGTTAGTTGCACAAACAACAAAGGTGATTGGTGCATTCAAACTATTCAACAGGAAGTTTACAATTATACTAGGAAGTGTATGAATATCTCGAGGAACTTGATGAAATAAATTGGTCAGCCCGAGGTAATGTATTGAATCAATATTTGAGCAACACTTCAATTGGAACAACAGTAAATATTGTCAATTTAAATACAATTATCATTGATGCTGTAAAATTGACGCCATGTTTATACAGCAATATAAACAAAACTTACTGAACTTCAGATATCATTTTCTCTTTGGCGTACCATCTAAAACCTCTTCATTTTAGCATTATTTTACAGATAAAGCACTGAAAATACTTTTTAAGTTCGTAAAATCTGTTATATCTTTCCGCCCATCTAAGAGCAATGAACTAAACTAAAACTCAATTATCGTGATTCTATTTGTTTTTAGAGTTTACAAAATGATCCAAATTTGAGAGAATTTCATTCTCGCTTAATGGTTAGTAAGAAGAGAAAAATTATATATGGACTTTCATGTATGTGCATAGAATTTAGTGCATAAAATTAATTAACTTAATTTTTCCTTTTGTTATTTTAAAGAATTCATCGATCAGACAGATTCTTTCTCCAGAAAATCATGTGTCTGTTGTTGCCCCTAACAACAATGCATTTACCTCTTCAAGACGAAAGGTAAGCTAAAAATAACTTTATTTATGCTGGATAGCTCTATCTGTTCTAAAACTGTTCCCCCTAGAGGTCCAGTAAGAAACATCCCTTATTGATCCAGTGTTACTACAGGAGGAAACCTAAACTAAACTAACTTTATTTATACTGGATATAGCCCTATCAGTTCAAAACTGTTCTCCGTAGAGGTCCAGTAAGGATCATCTCTTATTGATCCAGTTTTATTACAGGAGAAAACCTATACTAAACCAGCTTTATTTATACTGGATAGCTCTATCAGTTCTAAACTGTTCTTCCTAGAGGTCCAGTAAGGATCATCTCTTATTGATCCAGTGTTACTACAGGAGGAAACCTAAACTACACTAACTTTATTTATACTGGATAGCTCTATCAGTTCTAAACTGTTCTTCCTAGAGGTCCAGTAAGGATCATTTCTTATTGATCCAGTGTTACTACAGGAGGAAACCTAAACTAAACTAACTTTATTTATACTGGATAGCTCTATCAGTTCTAAACTGCTCTTCCTAGAGGTCCAGTAAGGATCATCTCTTATTGATCCAGTGTTACTACAGGAGGAAACCTAAACTGAACTAACTTTATTTATACTGGGTAGCTCTATCAGTTCTGAACTGCTCTTCCTAGAGGTCCAGTAAGGATCATCTCTTATTGATCCAGTGTTACTACAGGAGGAAACCTAAACTAAACTAACTTTATTTATACTGGATAGCTCTATCAGTTCTAAACTGCTCTCTCTAGAGATCCAGTAAGGATCATCTCTTATTGATCCAGTGTTACTACAGGAGAAAACCTATACAAAACTAACTTTATTTATACTGGATAGCTCTATCAGTTCTAAACTGCTCTCTTTAGAGATCCAGTAAGGATCATCTCTTATTGATCCAGTGTTACTACAAGAGGGAAGAGAACTTCATGTGTATCTCTTTTTTAGCGTCGCAGTGTGAACTCATTGTCAGACTTGGATCTCAAACACTATATTGTAAGCTGCGTGTCATTAAGCGAAAATGATGTCAAAGCTGGCGACAAAAGTTTTGTGACCGTCGCTGGTTCATGGCTGAATATCACATCACCGATGGTTATAAATAATAATGTGTCAATCTTATCTGTATTGACTGCAGCAAATAGCGCCATTTTGGTTGTTGATAAGTTATTGGATGTTCCTGACAGTGACGACGATTCCCTTGAACATGTGAGTACTTTTGTACGTGGTATTTTAATCATTGATTATTGATTTATTATGGAGTTGCAACTGTTGATTATTATATCGTCATGAAATATATCACCACTGCCATCTTCACCTTTATTCACTATCACCATCATTATCACCACTGATACCATCATTATCATTACCAATTCACCATTACTACGATCATCATTACCATCATCGATCACTCGTCATCGATCACTCATCATCATTACCATTATCACTGTCATCATTATCACCACAAACACCATAATTATCATCATCATTACCATCACCATCATTACCATCACCATCATCATCATTACTATCATTATCACCATCATTGCCATTATCATCATCATCATTACCATCGTCATCATTACTATCATCATCATTACCATCATTATCATCATTATCACTATCATCATCATCATTTCCATATATTTTGTTCAATTTTAAGTGATGTTTTTTGCTTTAGTACAATTTAGTTGTAGGCTTTTAACGCTAATAGTCGTTGATAAGTATGAATATCATTACCTATTTTGTAATGCGACCGAAAATTGCAACGTTAGTGTCATTAGCGGAACAAACGAGGCAAACTAAATTCTGGGCGTATATGTTTATCTGACTTGTTTTGGTTTTCGGAACGATATGAAGCGGAACGTTTAGTGCCGTCATTGTTTGGGGGAACAAAAACTCTGTTCCTTTTATAAAGGAACAAACTAAAGCGGAACAGCTCATTCCTTTTTACACTTTAGGAACTATTCGTTCCGTTGCACGAGAAAGGCACGAAAACGCGTTCCTATTTTCGGAACTAAAGTTTTAAGTTGCAATATAACGCGAGATAGGAACAAGAATATACGTTCCTATTTTCGGAACTAAACCCAAAAGTTTCGCCCAGTAATTAGCATGCAACCTTTCCTCAGCAAAGTCAGTTTTCGATTATTTGATCGGTATTGTACGAAGATATTTCAATCGATGTCGATACTAACTATTATAACATAGTGAAGAGCAGTAATATATTGTGTTGTTCTCCATGAAGTATATTATATATTGACGAGAATTGCACTGTTGTATACGAAAGAGATTATACCTTAAATGGATTTGCCGTTTGTGAAAACTTTATGCTTCAACATGATTTATATATAAATTAGACTGTCTGTCAACTATTTTCAAAGCAAACATATTATACGTATTATAGTCGCAGGAATAGAAAATAAGGCAACCGAGAATGCATTTAGTTTTGCGTGGAATCGTTTAAGAAAGAAAGAAATAAGGAATA